TCAGTGACACAAGCACGTGAGAATTTAAAACCTTCCACATCACAATGAAAAGAAAACCACTCAAGCCTCACTGATGCGAACCCTGACTTGAGAAAACTTGTCAGAGCATGAGCCTGCGGCGCTCGACTCGCTCTTAAGTATAACGAGATATTTTTGAAATCCCAGACAGATATTGGGTCCATCACTACTGAATAAGATAGAACCGTACTTACCAATTCTGTCCCTATTCATCGAGCACCATACTGATGTTCACAGGCAGACAAAGCGGAGATCAACAAACAAGTTGATGCCCTCACTAATCAAGATGTTGTGAGGCCTTCATTGTCACCCTATGCCGCACCTGTTATTTTAGTGGAAAAGAAAGGTGAAGGACACACTCGTTCATGTATTGACTACCGGAAACTCAATGCCAAAACTGTACCCGACTTTCGACCAATTCCATGTATAGGTAATATTCTTGACCACTTGGGAACGTCAGATTTTTTTCATGCTGGACGTAACGTCGGGATACTGGCATGTCCAAATGCATCCCGACTACGTCCAAAAACAGCATTTGTCACGCGTGATGGTCATTTCGAGTAGTTGGTAATGCGCTTCGGGTTGAAGAACGTTCCGGCTACAATTGAAAGAGCCATGAAATCAATAATAGTGAAACATCATCTCACCAATGTTAGTAATTGCTTTAACGATGTGGTCGTATACTCAGAGACATTTTATCATCATATACGACACCTTGAGATGCTATTGGATGCTCTTAAAAGCGAGAACGTAAAACACAAACGAAAAAAAAAGTGCCAGTTTGCACGTTGTAGCATTGAATACCTGGGGCACAAATTTTCGCAAAGCACAGTGACACCTAAGCGAGTGATGTGGCTGCCATACTCATAATTCCAATGCCCACAGGAGAAAAAAGATCTCCAGCGTTTTCTCGGCACTGTAAACACCTATAGCATCAGTACATCCCTTATTTCAGCGATATCGTTCTCCCACTCACGAAACTACTCCACAAAGGTAGGAAGTGAACGTTGACAGGAGCATGCGAGCAAGCCTTTCGAGAACTGAAGGAGCTGATAACTGAAGAACCGGTGGTTCACATATACGACCCTTCGAAACCATGTACTGTGTATTGTGACGCATCCGGCGAAGGCATTGGTGCAGTGCTGAAACAACCTGACGACAAAGGCAAGAGCATCCTATCGCATATTATTCCCGCAAACTAATTAAGGACGAGGTGAACTATGCTATTACAAAAAAATATCTTGCCATTGTAGATGCCATTCATAAATGGCATTTCTACCTTTATGAAAAGCCATTCACTGTTGTAACAGATCACTCTGCACTCCAATGGCAGAAAAATGTTAAAAATCCTCAAGGTCGTCTCTTCCGGTGGTCTTTGAAACTGCAAGTGTATGATGAACACCAAATATCAAAAGGGCGCAAGTAACGTCAAAGCTGATGCGCTATCCAGAGCCCCAATAGTTAATCTCCTGTAACACGATGAACTTCAATGATGCAACAATGAGCGTCCAAAAGGAACGCATTCATTGGAAAACAACATCAAAATCGTCAAAACATTAAGACTACTTTAGATATACGTGTCTCATGGGCTACGCCCAACTTTTCTTAAGAATGCACATCAATATTTTGGTCATGTCGGAGTGAAGAAGACGCCATCACTTCTGTCTCCACAATATTATTGGCAAGATATGATAATCAATGTTTCCACCTACATTCGGCATTGTGATAGATGCCAGAGATGCAAGACTATGACAACAAAAAACGTTTGGAACACTTGAATCACTGCATCCGGCGGAAGAGCCCTTTGACCTCTTTGCAATGGACACCATTGGAAGATTTTCTAGGTACCGCCCATTAAAAAGGTTGATTCACTTGGTGGTTGATCATGCGACCCACTACGTATGGGCGTTCAATAATAAAAAGTGAGAACAGCGACGTATACAGCTCATGCCAAAAACGATTTTTTTTCTTCTGAAAAACCACGGAAGTGCCTTTCAGATCGTAGAACAGGATTCACTACAGGAAACTTTTGAGCAGTTCTTAAAACATAATTGTATACACCAACTATTCGTGTCATCATCCGCAATGCAACGGCATGAATGAGCAGACAACCCATCGTAACGGCACTTTAATGTGAGATCAAAGACGAATCACAGAAATATTTGGACTAAGATGCTTCCGGAGGTAATTGACGAGTACAACAGAACGCCCCAAAAAGTGACCGGCTACGCACCTTCCTTCCTGATGTATGGAATTCCACCTTATCCTACTATAGTGGAAGAACGAGAAGAAACTGTAGAAGAAGCGCGAAAAAGTGCAGTTACAAATTCTATCGCCTGCCACAATAAGAACAAGGTCATATATGATAGAAAATTTCTTCCGATTGAGCTCCAAGTTGGTGACTTTGTCCTTTACGAGACATCGTGGCATCCCATCAATGGCAAACTGAGTTCCGTCATGGAAGGAGCTTACAAGATTCTACGAAAGGTCTCAACACTGAACTACTAGATCAACTGCTCTGTGCTACCCTTAGAAAGAAACTCTGACATTGTACATGTTAGCAAACTGCGGTGTTATTTCGTACCTTCTGAACTGAGACTTCCTCGAGCGGAGTGGGAAGTGTGACGCATTAACAAGGTGATGCTAGAAGAAGCCGATGAAGGATAAGTGTGTGTGTGTGTGTGTGGTGTGTGTGTGTGTGTGTGTGTGTGTGTGTGTGTGTGTGTGTGTGTGTGTGTGTGTGCGTGTGCGTGTGCGTGTGTGTGTGTGTGTGTGTGTGTGTGTGTGTGTGTGTGTGTGTGTGTGTGTGTGTGTGTGTGTGTGTGTGTATAGTAGGAAGCGGTTCTATTCAGAACAACTTTCTCCATGGAATTTATGGAGAAACCCTTGAGTTCTAAGAAGAAAATTTTGGGCACTTTATTTCAAACTTAATTATACTTCGCTGTTTAGCGTCAAATAAAACAGGACATAACATATTTATAACAAACAATAACAAAGTTGTGAAAGCTGGCTGTTTCCAGGTCTTGACAAGTGTGGAAGTCCACATAGCCGGTTCTCTTGTATAGGCAAAAAAAAAAAACGCACCATCTTTTCAGGAATTCATTCTAGATTTTTGTCCACAAACTGCTTTTTTTGCACTACTTACTTTATCGGAGCTATGGGTGCTCACGAAATTCAATGTCCTGGTATGTCATATCTGGCATTATTTAGGGATAACGGGAGGCACCTCTGTCAGCTGCTAGGTCCTTCTTCTGTTTCGTCTTTTTTTTACTTCCTCGTAATAATGGTGTTGAAGCGTTCGTTTTATACTTTGAGTTCAGGTCATGTCTTGGATTCTGAGATCAATGCTTCCTTTTATGTTTCATAGTTTCTCTACAATATCCCACACCTAAAATCTTTGCGAACATGAAGACAGTCCACTCCCATATTTGCGTCATATAGTTCGGTGGTAGGTCTAAAGTGGCCGAATAAATAGACTCAGGCTATGAACTTGTCGCTTTGTAACCATGTCCAGTCGTTTCACATTCACCTTTTTTCGTCATTCACCAGTCCTCGCTGTACAGTGGACTCCTCGACTAAGTTCAGTCTTCCCGCTTGACAATGCGTTTTAGCACTCAAAATGTTTATGCAATACGAGCCCTGCTCTCCTCCATTTCACCTGGCTTCAAGTTGCGTCCAATTTCAAGCACATTGTTTACCTCATCTGCCCTAACTCTCACCATATATCTAGCTTTCGTTGTAAACATCACTGCCAATAGACTCTAGATCACCAGCATTGGCGTCATTAGCTTTCAGGAGTTTTTGCATTTCTTCTTCAGTCGGGTACAGTCTGTGGTCTTCAGACACACAGGCACATATCGAGGACATTAAGCGTAAAGACCCGCTAACCACATTTTAAACACTTATTATGCATTAAAATGATTACAGTTTAGGTGGAGACCCCTCTGTTGTGCTGCCACACATGCTGGGTAAAAAGAAAAGGTGATATTTGGGGGGGGGGGATTCTTGCCGCCTCACAAAGTCAATTGTGACGAGTAGGCGAAGCTCTGGGTATCGTATACGTGAGTGATCGTACCGTACCCGAGCCTTGCTCCATAATATGTGAATTGAGTGACTTAAAAAGTTTATAGGAATGCAAGTTTCTTTTGCCTTGGAGTCATCTTAGCCAATTAAAGTAGAATTTAGAAAATTGCTGGAGTAGAGCATATGCCTCGAACCACCATACTACTGGAAACATTCCATTTTAATATAGAATGTGACAGAATGTAACGCCAGGGAAAGTACAGGGTGTGTTATTGGAAGTAATTGATATGAGAATGGAAAAAAAGAAAAGCGGACAAAATGATAGCTTGCCGTGAGCAGGGACCGAACCTGCGACCTCCGAATAACGCATCCGATGCTCTCCCAACTCAGCTACCATAGCGGCTACCCCCCCCCCCCCCATTTCAATTTATAGGGTATCTGTGTGCAGAGGAAACGAGCTCTCAAGTTTACTTTTTCGTTCATTTTATAACAAGGGTCTCGTTATGGCAGACTTGGTGCCATTAGGTGTTATAAGAGGAATTATTGTTTAGCTACCATCTTGGAGTACTATCACGTATTATGCGACGCCGAACAGGCAAGAGGAGTGTTCCACACTCTCCGCCATAGCAATGGGCCGCGCTGACCAACAAACCCACGTTTAAATTAACAGATATACCATATAAGTAGGCGAGGAGATAACCGCTACCGTAGTTCGGTAGTAAACGCGTTCGGTAGAATCGAACGCGTTTGATTCTACCGAACGCGCGGTAGAATAACGCGTTCGGTAGAATCGAACGCGTTATTCGAAGAACGCAGGCTCTGATGCTGCCGGTGGCAAATTTTCTTTGCGTCCGCTTTTCTTTGTTCGGATTTATACATTACATTTATACACGTGCATTTCGTCAGCAAGGATTGCGGCTTCGGGCGCGCCACTAATTTCGTCCTGACCATTCGTACAGGTTGTAATTTACGCCTGCTGTCATCGACCGTAGCGTCACTTCAAGGAGCATCAGCCGAAGGGACGTCATCTACCCTGTACACGTCACCATCCGCGCCAGCTGCTATCCACACTCCGGTGAAATCAAGCGACGCCGGCCGGAAAAATTTCATCTGACGTATCGCCAACAAAAGATGGTGTACGTGCGCTATCCCATCATTTGGCCGCAAAGGTTGCGACTGCGAGCAACCATCTAATTTTGTCCTGGCCATTAGTGCTGATTTGTCTCATAAACTTGTACATTTGTGAATCCTTCTTAGCCGCTCCCCTGTTGCCGTCAGTGTCTCGAGTGTGTTTCATGATGCCGTCGTGTGCAGAGCGAGCAAACGAAATAGCACCCCTAGATGCTGAAATTACATCTATGCAAGAAAGTCTTAGCATGTTTAATGGACTCCGTAAAATTTCAGAACGAAACCATCGTGAAGGAAAATCAATTGTTGAAGGAAGAAAACCCGAAGCTGTATCAACGTCTCTCGTAACTCGAGCGTATTCTCGCTTCAACAACGTATAGAGGTTGAAGGTGTTTCCGTCACAGAAAGTGAAAATTGCCTGGCTGTAATACAGGCTATCGGTGAAAAAAAGTTTACGGTGAATACAGGCTATTGGCTGTATTGTCATTCCCTCCGATGTTGAAATTGTTCATTGTGTCCCCGCGAAAAAACACAAGAACATCATCGCGCGCTTCTGCTCGAAAACGAAGTTGGCGGAATTCATTAGTAAGGCTCGGAAATCTAAGCTCACCACTTCGGCTGTTGATCGGTCACGAAACAGTAACTCACCTTTCATTGTTAATGATCATCTCACGCCAGAAAACAAGCGTCTTTTCACGCAAGCTCTCGACTTGGAAAAAACCAAAGGGTGGCGATTCTCTGCATTGAAAATTGTGTAATCAAAGAAAGAAAGACTGGAAATAGTCGCGTTTATTACATGTCCAGTGCAAACGATCAGGCAATATTTGCATATTCAGCGTGTCTGTGCATCCTTCATTCGAATTTCTGTGATGAACAGAGGCATGTTTTCATGTGATAAACGAAAGCATTGCTCCGTGATAAATTCCCAATTTTTCATTCATTCACTGTAATATTCGGAGTGTTCAAAAGCATCACGATGTTTCGCTAAACTTTTTTCTATACTTGATCATAACTTTTCTGTAAGCTATTTTTCTGTAAAGTGGCTAACACAAGCAGATAGCAATCTATTTTTTCTTCCACGTTACACCAGTGAACATAGCCACCGTGGAATCTAAAGAAGTGGTGAATCTGCAATTTTTGTGAATTTGTCACTCCGTACACTCGTCGTCACGATATTTCATTCTGTAATTAATTGTGCGAGTCTGTCTGGTAAGAGTTAGACCGGAATGTCATGCCACTCAACAATAGCCATACAATCATGGCATGCACTTATTCCCCATCATTTTGGAATTCGGACTTTGGTTCACAGCTAGAAATTTTTGACATCTTAACCAATGAAACTAGAAACGTCATCATTTGTGGTGACATCAGCATACTTCTTCTCAACTGTCAGTCGTGTTCTGACTATATCAACTGCTTCATTAGCTATGCTTTTTTTTCTTCTTTAAATAATATTCCAACAAGATGTGACACTGCTGGTTCTTGCACGTTAATAGACCATACATTTTCGTCTTCATCCTCTGACTGCACTAATGGAGTGATAGATTATTACATTACTGATCATTATCCCCTGTTGTTTTGTCTTAGCAGTGGAAAACGTTTGCAGCATACCGAATACACTAAGGGTTTATTCAATACAACCTTATTTGTACGAAAGGTGCATGACACGTGCTGGAATATTTTTTTACGTGAAAATTTCCTGAGAAGGCATAATAAATGTTCCTGTCAACAGTGACAGATTAATTTATTGACTGCCCAACCCACATATATCGTAAGCACATTCTTGTCTCCTACAAATCCATGGATAACAATTGTGTTGCTGTGCAGTATATTTATAATAAAGAAATCTTTAAAAAGTCAAACTGTTGCATTTCAACGTATCTTTGCGAGATTGATTTTAAAATTATAACAATATTATTTTCGGCATTTTTAAGCGTGCAAAACGATAGTATTATGAACGGCGGGTAACTGAAAACGGAAAAAATACCAGGCACATTGGGAAGCTCAATAACTAAGTTCTTATTATTACAGAGGCAAATACGGGTATTAAAACATTATTTCTGATGATAGGGAATACAATAACGAGGTTGATATACCTAACGCTTTCGGCGATCATTTTCCCACATGCAAAAATACGTCTTCTTCTAGGGTTACACCTCATCTTCCACGTAGCTTTCGGTCTTTGTTCCTTCATCCTGTTTTTTCAAAAGAAGTTTTTATTGTAATGTTTTTCCTCACAGGAACGAGACAATGGCTGGATTCTATCCAGCCTTCTAAAACTAAGCTGGCTGCGGCGGACATATGAATGGCTGTGGCAGATATTGCTAACCAAATATTCAAAACAGGTAAATTTCCCGAGCTGTTGGAACGTGCGTGGTAAAGTAATTCCGATGTTCAAAAAAGGTGCTGGCAATAATATTGCCAACTACCGCCAAATTCGTATTTTGCCATTTTAGTAAAGTCATTGAAAAGCTTCTGTACACTTGTTCAATGAACTACCTAAACGCATTCAATCTTCTCCCCTTACGTCAGTTTAATTTTAGGAATAGTTATTCAACGGAACGAGTCTAAATCAATTTCAAGGACAGCATTAAACAATTTATTCATGAAGGGTCTGTCGCAGGAGCTATATTCATTGACTTAACCAAAGCATCTGTCACACTAGTACATAAGCTGCAGTCTTTTGGTTTTACTGGCCCACCATTAGGCTTACTTCGCAGCTACTTGTCCGACAGGCTGCAAGTACTGTATATTAATGGCCAACTTTCATCAACTAAATTAAATAACAGTGGTGTTCCCCAAGGCGCTATGTTGGGCCCTTTGTTGTTACTCGTATTCATTATTGACTTAACCAATACGCTTGCCCCTTCCCGAGCTGTTTGAACGTGGTAAAGTGATTCCGGTGTTCAAAAAGGGTGCCCGCAATAACATTGACAACTGTTTGCTGTATGCTGATGACACGGTCATCTATTCACCACATAACTGAGTCACCGCACTTTAGGGTGTACTTACTACAGATGTTAAAAAAACGATCACTCATGGTGTATGAATGATCAACTAAAAATTACTCCTACTAAGTCAACCTTTGTGCTTTTTCATAGCCCCCAAACGGTGATTACTTCCTTCATACTTGTCTCTATGAATACTTATGATATACCGGCATTTGATAATGTTAAATTTCTGGGTATTAATCTGGATAAACACCTTAAATATCATATTCACACCAAGTCTCTCATCAAGGAGGTTTCTTTAGGTATTCGCAATATCAAAAAACACGTGCATTCTTTAAACCTCATATTCAATTTTCGCTTCCTAATGCGTATATTAGGAGCCATTAATGATATTGCCTATCATCATGGGGTTCCACATACACCATTCATTTCAAACCCCTTCAGCACCTTGAAAAACCCGGCAATAAAATACAAACATATAGCCCATCACGTTCCCATTCTGTAGTCATCTATCAACAGTTACGCATTCTACCAATACAAGAGTTGTTTTATGACAAGTTTTCCCTCACCACATATCGTCTTATTCATCATCAAATATCGTTATATAGCAGTCCTCACCATGTGCTTGTCAACAACAATAATACCAGGTTGTAAGAGAAAAACAACTTTCTTTTACCAAAAATAACATCGAACTATGGCAGATTTACAGCTCGCTTTTATGGTATTCATCTTTGAAATCGCATACCTCTTCACATTAAATCTTCTCGGTCACTGCAGTCTTTTAAGTACAACATGAAAAACATATTGGTAAAGAAACCTTCTCTTCGTTTGTAATAAATTTATTTTCATCATCACTTGAGAGCTTTGTATTTATGTTTTATATAATGCTGTTATGGTAAATATATTTTTCCTTTTTTTAGTATAAATCATTAGGTTTTGATTGAGTTTTCTATTTGTTCGCTCTTTTCGCTGCTGTTAACTTTTATTTATGCATGCCCCGCCGCGGTGGTCTAGTGGCTAAGGTACTCGGCTGCTGACCCGCAGGTCGCGGGTTAAAATCCTGGCTGCGGCGGCTGCATTTCCGATGGAGGCGAAAATGTTGTAGGCCCGTGGGCTCAGATTTGGGTGCACGTTAAAGAACCCCAGGTGGTCGAAATTTCCGGAGCCCTCCACTACGGCGTCTTACATAATCATATGGTGGTTTTGGGAAGTTAAACCCCACAAATCAATCAAATCATGAATCATTTATTTATGTACGCCACTAATTTTATGAGGTCCCTCTGACAGTCTCATACTTCGGGACCCCCTGATTTTGTATGTATTATGTAACCAGTTTTTTATACACGCAATAATATTGAAGAAACTTGAACTCTACTTCTTACACGGCCCCTCTACTTTTCCTAGCATTATAGACTGTTAGTTCTCATTCATACTTTTCGATTTCATTACAACAAAAAGTAGTGCACGTTCTTAGAAAGCACAACCATGTTGCTAAAGTCAGCGCAAACGCCGCCACCACCAACATTCTCCACGCTTCTCGCTTGCCTCATTTGGGCATCATATCAGGCGTGCCTCATTTCTATGGTAGAAGCTGTTCAGAGTAGAGCAGTGAGATTAATCTCGTGTAATTACGACCAATGTTTAGCGGTTCTCAAATAGAACAACATATTTTACCAGTCATTTGAATATGGCCTCCTAATCGCCTTTCTTTTTGTGTTTCTTAGGTGCGTTTGTGTCAGTTAACCTCATCGTCTGGCTATTCGTGCTCCTGCACGCATGTCCGGAAACATTCACAACTAGCCCAGTTTGAGGTGCATACATGGTCAAACGCGGGTATATAAAGCATTGTCACAGCGCGGAACTATTGCGCTCTAGAATGGTTTTCCGGACGTCATTGTGTCCGTGTTGAACTGTGAAACTTTCGGTGATAACCGACTACTTTTCTGGATAACATTGTGTATAAATGTTCTACTGTACCCGCTGCAGCCTCTATTTCCTCAACTTCCTATTTCATCTTTACATTTTTCTGTACCGTAGTAACTGGTGCAGCCTTCTTGAATACCCTTCATTGGCATATGAGGTACTGTGAGTTGGGAATCGTGAAGTAAGTGAGCGACCAGAACGCAGATACCGGTGACAAAAACTAGCCGCATTACAAGGATTTTTTGTGTGTCTGGATGTTGCTATTCTGTAACAGCACATACTGCGTCGCGTATACTGCAGCCATCACCGTAGCTCATACCATAAGAAGTTATTTTGTTCCAACGCAAAATGAAGAAACAAATAAATTGTTTGTCATAATTCAACAGTTTTAAAAATATTGTATGAGGTTTTACGCGCCACAACTGCGATATGAATAATAGGGACGCCGCAGTGGAAGCTCCAGAAATTTCGATCTTTGGTGTTCTTTAACGTGTACTGACATCACACAGTATTCGCCTGCATTGAAATGCGACTACCGCGCCGGGGATTAAACCCACGACCTTCGAGTCAGTAGCCGAGCACTGTAAACGCTACACTAGTGCGACAAATAATTAGCCACTTTTCACCTCACACCATAATGGCTAGCATGAAAATCATCCGGCGTGAGCAGCCTGCTTCTCATGCTCCTTTTACGCTGTGAAAAACAAACAATTTAGTTCTGCGTGCGTGAAATTTTACTTTAACCAGACGAATAATAATGGTTAATTAGATGTGCTTATGTAATGTTAGCGCCGGGTCACATTGGCTCGAGAGTTCCGAGGAGTAAGCTCTAATCATTTGATTCATGCCCTGTGCTTTTTCTGAAGCATTCTCAACTGAAAATTCCAGGAAATACTCGAATGTCCCACATGACAATTATAATGTTCTTCATCAAGAATCTCGCGTGGTTCTAACATATTGCTTCGCACTTGCTTATAAAATTGATGCGTTATTGTTGTGCGCTGTATGGTAATATATATAAAGAGTTCGCTTTTCAACGGGCACATCAGTATGCGAGAACTATCTTAAGTAAACAATTTTCGGTGGCACTTAGTCCCTAGTAAGCCACTTGATATCGCTATTTGTGTGGCTTCAATGAGAATTGAGCCCTGATACGCGGCTTTCATCTACTCGTGTATTTCAATAAGCTGATTATCGTTGGGACCCACATTCCGCTCTACATCAGTGCGATTTGGAAAAGCACTTTACGTGAAGGTTCTTATGAGGCTTCTGGGCATGGAAGTAGCACGATAGAACGGTTTTTTAGAGTATTCAGAGCTCTTGTATAGTAGTTCGGGAAGATACCTTACCCACCCAGTAGGAGAGCACGAATTAGTTTATACGTATTGCGGCTAATGCATCCATCCCCACTGCCGGTGACGGGCGTATACGACACGTCACTAAACGGTTGTTTGTTCTCGCTATCGTCAGGGCTGATGTCTACGTGTCTTTGGCAATGCAAGTCCATTTCTTTCGGTGAGCCCGCTGTGAAGAAGTAAGTTTTGAGGCGCCCTGGTGTACTCAGGCAATGGAGCGCGAACAAATTGCGAAAGGTTCGGTACACACAGCATGGTCCAGCAATAACGTTGTGTGTGTGCTTTTAGGGGCGAAATACCTTAGGGTCTAGGCTTGTCCTTTGTGCATTGTGTTTTGTCCGTTATCCGGAATAGCACATTCAAGGTACCAACTATACGCCCAACCCCGTACGCCTGTCAAGGCAGAGCACGTGCAAGGTACCCATTATACGCCCACCATATGGCCATCCCGGCACAGCACAAGGAAGCTACTCACTATACGCTCCCCGTATGTCCATCATGGCACAGCACATGCAAGATACCTACTATATGCTTAACGTATGTCCGTCCCGGTACAGCACAAGGAAGCTACTCACTATACACCCACCGTACGTCTATCACGGCACACCACATGCAAGGTACCCACTATGCGCC